TTTAGGATCTTTCAGGCCGTTTTACAATTTAGCCATTTTACGAATTTAGACGAGATCATTTCCTGATACGGTGTCGTTTTTAAGTAAACATCTAGAATTGATCGTATAGTTTGGAAATGTTCCGTGTTTCTTTTAACCGTTGTTGTTTTATACGGTTTACTCGAGGTTTTAAGCAAGGTGTCTAACGCAGCAGAACGTTTCCTTCCGATCCTGACGTTATTCTAGGCTTCCCTTAAGCTAGCGTACGACGTTTTGAGCTCAACATCGTACTTCTCAACCAAAACATCAACCTGCAAGTACAGGAAATGATCAGTCAGATTACGAGAAAGACGAGACAAACACCATCGAGAGAGTAGCAATAAAGGAAGAACACTTACCGCATGTCTAAGGCGAGCAACATCGAGATAAGCGTCCCGAAAAACTAAGTGATCAAACGAAAAGAGTACTCTCGGTTCCACAGTCTTGGTCTGATCGTCTTGGTGGCCACCCTCCCCAAAAGCCTGCACCCCAGCCTCCGAGCTAACCTTCTTCTTCTTCTTCTTCCTCGAAGTTTCCAGAGGAATGTCTTCCTGCTCGATTGGAAGGTCTTTGCTCGTCAGTATCACCGGATCAGGATTATATTCCGCGTCGTCTACTCTCTCGGAGGATGGATTACCCTCAGATCCATCCCTAAGATGCAGGATGTTCCCTGCTCCAGAAGCAGCCTCGAGGGACTTCTTACTCTTCTTATTTTTCTTCTTCTTCATGACGGGGAGATCAGTAGGCTGATCGCCTTCGACCGCATTGAGATCATCAGCTCGATCTCCAGATTCATCAGTCCGAGACCTCTTCCGACCCCTGCTCGCAAGATCAGACGTCTCGGCGCCAGTATCCTCGACAGGAGATTGAACGGTGTGAGTGGACGGCTCGACTCCATCAAGACCAAAACCATCGATCATGTTCATCAACCCGGTTGTCTGAGAAGGCCCTTCTCGCCGAGCTTCGATAACCGCTGAAAGGTTCGGCAACTCGTTCATTTTAAGCGCTTTGGAAATCTCTCAGGTAGACAGTTTCTATGGGGCGTAGGCCTCCCACTAGCTGCTCTGCTCTCGAATATAGATTCGACCTCTTCTTGCTCTTTTGATCTTGACACGGAAGCCTCGAATACCAATCGCCTGCACGAACGACGATTAAAAATAAGGAGTCGCTCACAAAGCGAGTAGCAAGATGAGGCACTAAATTTCTTACCCCGGTCAACAAAATCCAAAGCATGACGTATTCTCTCTTATCCTCATGCATGAGGCCATGACTGTGTGCGAATCCGTTGGGTCCAATTATCTAACTTATTTTCTCATTAAAAAACGAAGTTGGTTTGCTTTCCCAATCAGTGTGAGCAAATCATTCATTGCAAGCGAATCATGCACCGCAAAATATTTCATTTTCTCTTCACCTATATCAGGGCACCTCTTATGGCAAGTTCGACCAAAGCTCGCGCGTTGGAGAAAAACTTTTCCGGAACGCCTGAGAAGTACGGATGATTAACTGCACGAGACAAAAGAGAATGGTCAGATTACACATAACAGCTAAGGATCGAGAGAAGCTATCTACCAGTACGTCAGTTCCAATAAGTTCGGAACTCCTCGCCCGGTGGATCGACAAAAGCATAATTATCAGCTTTGATAAAAAATAATATTGCTGCCAGTGCGGAGTTTTGATCGGATGACCAGTGATTATATTGTAGTTCATTCTTATTTTCACCGGGAAGAAGCCGTGGTAACTCCTCGAATGCCCGACAACACAAAGATATATCAATCTCGGAGGCCATCACCAAAAACGCGACCGCCAGGCGGTATGCTCCATTCACCATCTGACTGATGGCCAAATAAAGACGAGAGACGTAGGAAGTTATCAGACGAGGGATCGGAAACCAGAGTTTAGTGTCCTCCTCGAAGTCACATTGATACCCAACTGGAGGCGACCAGGAACGCTGATCCTTGTTCGGGATCAGATAGGTTACGCCGACAGCATTGCAGGCAACGAGCAGGCGCTCTACAGTCTCGAAGATCGGCTGCATTGCCCGCGTATTCGTCCAGGACTTCCCTTCAATATTAGCGGGCGCAATAACTCCCGAGGAACTGCAGACTCTCTTTCGAAGACTCTGAGGCCGAGATAGCGAGTCGGGACCACGGGAAGAGCTTCTTCTTCTGCTCGTCTCGCACCAATGGGTCTAGATCAAACAAAACGAGATCGATTAGAGCTTGCCCGCGTTAGTCTAGGTTGCGTTGGTCTGGATCGTCTCGCTCAAGGTTCATTCAACATTTCAGCGGCGGCGTTTCCAGCGGCTTCACCTCTGAGTTCTCTCTCTCCATCAATGACAAGAATTCTCTGTGACAAGTTAAGACTCGCCACATCCATCAACACGTTTCGATGCACTAAGTCAAAATCCTTTGAAGGTTCGTTAGTCGTCGCATCTCTAGCAGGACTTGACGATGTCCCGATCTCCTTTCTCTTCTCTTCTCGAGTCAACCTTCTTCGCAGACACATCTTACTGACAGAAACTATATAATTCTACAACAAGCTAGAGAGAGAAAGTAGAGAGAACGGAGAGAGAAGATACATGTGGCTGCGAAGAAAATAAAGAGAATGAAGAGAAGAGGAGTATATATATAGGGATGAATAGGCGCGATTCCTAGAGCCATAATTAGGTCTATTAAAGCCTAGTTGGGACTTAATTCCTCGTGACCCTTCGCATTCTAATGGGTCGAGATCCTCTAAGATGCCCACTCCCTTACGACTGTTCACGTTCCCGCGGCGTCAGAATTTTCTTTGTTCGACGAGCACGGTTTGGAAAAAATGTCTGAAAGAATACTCACTTATCTCGACTCGATCAATGCGTTGAGACGGATCGATGAGCAAGCAACTCGACTAACGCGTTAAGACAGATCGACGAGCAAACGATTTGGTAGAAATGTTTGAAAGGATACTCACGTATCTTGAATCAATCAAGGCGTCGAGACGGATCGACGAGCAAGCAACTCGACTAACGCATCAAGACAGATCGACGAGCAAAGGATCTGACTAACGCGTCGGGACAGATCGACGAGCAAACGATTTGGCTAACGCGTCAAGACAGATAGACGAGCAAACGATTTGACTAACGCGTTAGGACAGATCGACGAGCAAAATATTTGGCTAACGCGTCGGTACGGATCAACGAGCAATCAACTTATGCAGACTTTGAGAACAGATCGTCGGGTACTCGCCTCGCCGACCGCATGTAAACCAATTTCTCTATGAGTTTCAGATCGCGCTCGGAGCGATCGATCGAGCTTCTAACTCGACGCGTGCCAAACTGACAACTAAACCTACTAGCCGATGGACCCAATCTACAAAATCCACCCTGACTTACCGCATAACTCGGCAACGAACTGGAGGGCTTACTGTAGGAGGTGGATTACTCCCTCTCATAAGTCCCATCAGATAGCAGGCTCAGCCCATTTAGAAACAGCCTAATACAGCTCCACTAGCGGACCACACGTCAGCTCGGCTCGAGACCGCTTCAGTCGGCTCAAGTCCAGCCGCCTCGGCGACACAACTACAAGTAAGAGAGGGGACAACGAGGAGAGGATCTGAAATCGAAAAATCACTTACAAGACGGCTAGAACTAGGGTTTTACACTATGTACCTTTTTCGACTTGTACCTTTTTCGTCTAACTCATCTAGTGACGCCGTTTCGTCTCGTTTGTTCCTTATTTGTAAACCAACTCTTTCATTTATAAATCAACTCTTTCATCTATTCATAGTAAGACGTCTTTATAATAACCCATCGACGAGTCATGTCACCTTCTTACTGATAAACGACTTGAACTCGGTTCAGACAAACGGGACAATCAAGATTGCAAGAACTAAGTCTGTGATTAATATATATATATATATATATATATATATACACACTTTCATGGCTGCTGGTTATGACACCCTCTTTTGGCTATATGAACTATTGCAAGTCGTTCAATGGTGTCTTTAAAATTCGCACAAAGCCTTATCGCTAGTTTTAACTATGAAATTGTTAAACGATTATATGTAGAGTTGTTTCCACATCCTCACAGTAAAGTCCAATTTTGTAGAAATCATATACAACAGGTTTCCAGTCTAGACTTCGTCACATTAGCATAGACAATTGAGTCATAGGTGAACATTTCAATAAAGTTTTCTTGTAATTGGCCGCATTGTAAAGACGATCTGTTCTAGTAGATGTGTTTCGCACATACTCTATACTCAACCCCAGATAATTCTACCTTAACGACACTCAATTAAAACATACCGGTTTGCCAAACTAGGACGTGACAGAAACCCAAGACTCTACAGACTTGGAATGAATCTAAACAAGTAGCAAAAATATTTTTATAGGCTAAGCAAGAAACAGATGAATTCACATTGATTTGCCAAATCCTGCGGATTATTTACACGTTATCTGTCTCAGAAACTGTGAAAAGAAAAGAAATTTATCATCCTGAAATTTCTTGTTAGACTGGAGACATAGGAAGAGCTGCTTTGTTCGAAATTCAAGCAGGCGCCAAGTAAGTAGCCAACAATTATCAGACTTAAACTGAGGCTGCACTTACCCACTTAAACACTGAATCACTGATCCACCATAGAAGAAAACAGAACATCTTCTCACTATACTGTTCTGAAAGCCTTTCCTCCTCCAAGGTGGTTAAGATATTCCATACATTGGCAGGTAAAGAAAAGGTGGAGGCTAAGCTCCAAGAGCCGAATGAGAATATATATATGAAGCAGATTAACTCAAGTATTCAAAGATCTTAACCAAGAAGTGATGCAGATTATTAAAATATCTATACAACGAACTCAGGTGGTGCTGCCTCATCCCCATGGATATAACAGTGCTGATGTGATCAACGCTTTATCCCACAGACGTCAAATAATACTAACCGTATTCATACAAGTATTCATTTCTCCCATGATTCAGTATGAAGAATAATGTGACTATAGGCAGGAAACAAATGGTAAGAGTCAAACTTTGTCTTTAAACACATAAGTGAATCCACAAATTCTTTTCAGCTTTACAAAACCGAACCTCTTGCATCCCATTCCACAAAGATGTCGAAACTGCATAGCAACAAAACACAAGACCATATATACATACATTACACAGATGGGTGGAGGAGCAAGATCAGAGACGAAATCCATGGCTCCTAGGACTCTGAGGAACACTGCTTGCTCTACCCCATAACCTACGTTCCTCACTGCTCCCGTACTTTCCATTACCACCACCACCCTGTGGATCCCATCCTGCGCCTCTAGGGAAATCTAACTGTGGCGGCGGTGGAGGCCGCAGTCTACAAGTCAAGTAGTTAGGTTGCTGAAAGTAAGCACTATTGTGGTGGTGATGGTTGTGTGGCTGCTGTATCTGCTGTGAGATGTTAGGACTGCTTCGTACTCTATGCATCGGGTAAAGCCGACTAAACTGGTAGCTGCTACCCAAATCAGGACCGTGTCCATCGGGTGATGATTCAGATTTAGGAGACGTGGAAGCAGATAGGGTGAAAGAAGGCCGTGTCTTGATTGGAGCAGTCTTGCGAAGAATGCCGTTGATGGCTTCGATGTAACGTTGCTCTATCGTCTGAGGCTCGATAGGACCACCTAACTGATTGTCAAGAACCACCGTTGGGTTCGCTGGGAACAAGAAGGTTCGGAGTTTGGGAGACTCGTGGTGACGGTTGTATTCGTCCATCATGTGTTTGAGATCTTCGTCGGACTTTACGGAGACTAAGGCGTCGAGATCTTCGGGGAGGATTTGGTATTTGAGGACCATGTCGTTCTCTGTCATCTCCGTCAGCTTCTTGGTGAGTTCTGGAAGAATGATTAAACATTGATTTAATTGGTGGTGATAATGGGAGGAGAATTTTAGATTATATATTACCGAGGAAGGTGATGTCTGGAGAGACGGCGATGACGCGAGTTTCGCCGCCGACGTATTTGAGAAGGCCGTCGGAAGGTCTGGGGAGGATTTTGCCGCCGAAACTGCACATGAACTTCACTTTGCTCCTCCCTCCCATTGACATTTTTGCCGCCAAGATTTGCAGGATCTTTTTAAGGTTTCTTTGTAAAATTAAATATTATATATAAAACAAAGAAGGAAAACCCTAATAGAAAAATGGATGCTCTAGCCTCTTCCTTCTTCGGACGATGTTAGAGACTAATGCAATAGTTTTCTTATGAAGAAGAAAGAGGAAGAGAAGAGGTTTGATCAAATTGAATTTTCCTGACTTCTTTCTATCAAAATGAGGAAAAAAATAAGGTTTTAACAAAGCAACAAAATAGGAATCCAGTTTGCCTTATTTTGAGATTGTTCCCTATTTATGGATTTGTATGAACATATCGGAAACAATATGCCAAAATTGTGATTTCTTCGGAGGATCTCCGGGGAATATTTCTTAAATGTCTTGTCTTGAGATTTTTTCAACTTTCATTTTAGATAATATAATATTATTTATTATAATCTAATTATTAAAATAAAATTTAACATTTACAAATGTATTAAAAAACATCGCAGGGTTATAAATTCTCACTTGAAAATCTCTTCTTCTGCTTCTCCTTTTTTAACTTTTTTTTAGTGTTGAGACCTTCGGTGAACTGTGAACCAATGGGTATTTTCTTATTTTCCATGTAAAATCTTATAATAAACTTCAACAACAAAAGTTCTCCAATGAACACAAAACGCAAGCTAATCATTCCATGAAAAATAACAAAAGAAAAAAAAAAAGTAAAACCTAGGCATGGTGTTTCCCGCTTTTCTTGCCCTTCTTCTGTTTCTGCTTCAGTTGCGTCAACCCCGCTGCTGTGATCTTCACATTCCCAACAAGAGCAGCCATCAGCTCCGGATCCGTACAAGCCTTCATCAGCTCTTTCTCCCTTACACTCGCCTCCGACATATGTGTGAACAGATTCATTGCCGTTTTTGCAGCTGTATAAACACATAATCAAATATAACCCAAAACCTCTAAATTAAGATAACAAGGGTATGTATTTATTACCCTTTCCTTTCTTCATGCTCCCTGGGATCGCTTTGACTCTGTATTTATATGACTGGAGGGCGTTGTAGGGGCCGCACACAGGGACCGCATATAAGAGAACGTCAGTTGGTAATGGGTTACCAGTTAGATAATCGACATCAATCAGTTTTTCTTTCTCTTCCTCCCCAAGCTCATGAATATCTTCTTCTTCCATTACCACTTTGTCCATCTCTGAAGAAGATTCTTTCCCATGGCAATCCCTAGCAAGATGTCCAACCTTCTTACACCTGTAACATATTTTCACAGCATCTTCTGTCTCTGCACACAAAAACCATCAGTATAATATGTGAAGAAACAATTTCAGACCGCTGACAAGGTTGTATGAGTTTACCTTCAGAAGGTTTCTTCTCTTCAGTGACTGCGGGCTTCGTAGTCTCTGCTTCAACATGTGGCTTTCCAGAAGACTGCACAAGGAAGATAATTATTTTTCCCCCAAATTTTATGTTCCTTCGACGAAAAGAAAATGGAGAAAGTACTTACTGCCAACAGCGTCATACGAATTTTTCTTTCTTCTTCGTCTTGATCAGCATATTTCTCCTTCATTTTCTTAAGTTTACCCCTTTGCCCACGGCTAACTTTTTCCCCAGCTGGCTTGTTCTCAGGTATGGTCTTGTTGGCCTGCCTTGAAGAAGAAGAATCATCTTTTGCCTTGCGTTGCTGCTTTTCTTTCTCAGTGTTACCATCGGCAGCTGTGTTACCGCTAGAAACATTTTTTTCCTTCCGCTCCGGCTTTTCTTGGCCAGTGTTACCATCAGCGGCTGTGTTACCGCTTTCGCCCATCTTAAGCTTTCTTCTTTGCGCTTTTGATATGTAAGGCTTATCTCTCGCTGCTGGTTTCTTCTCTTGCTCTTCCGTTTCATCCTTTGATGTCTCTATTTTATGGTTCTTGCCTGCCACCGTCGCAGTACCAAGACCAAGGGTTCTATCAAGAAGATCTTCAAGCTGTGACGTAGCCGCTGTAACATTTTCTCCATCAATTCCAGATGAATTCATGTCCAAAGAAGACGTATCTTGGCTCATTAATGCTGGTTTTGATTCCTGTAAATTCATTTCTCTTGCCGCAGAAACATCTTCATTCTCTGCTTCGTTCTCTGACTCAGCATCTGAATGCTCATCAGGAGCATGCGTTTCCATGACAACATCATTCATTCCTTCCTCTTCACCTCTTACCCTTCTCTCATTCAAATGAGCTCCCAAGGAACTCTCGTCCAAACGAAACAACAGTCCAAAACCCATTATAAGCGGGTGTGGTGGAAGGAAGTTTTTCTTACCTCGTATCATGAAACTTCCAACTGTGAGGTATTCTCCAGTAGGAGCTGTTTTACTGACCTGATGGGGATAAACCCACCATGCACTAGTAACAATCTTGGAATCCCAAGCCTGACTATGACAAACCTGCATCAACGAATTACATTTAAAGGTCTGTCGCACACCAGTCACACAATTCAACCCAACTTAAGTGGTGGGTAAAACCGCTTACCGTAAAACATCCAGCTTGGTTTAAAGTGAGAGGCGGTACACTTTGTTCAGGTTTATGATTCTTTATCACAGTACTAGATGCTCCATGAAGCTCGGCATGCACATACCTAAGAAAAAGCATGGTGAAAAGAAAGTTACGATAGCAGGTGAAAAACACAAAGACTAAGAAAAGAACTCTATACATGAAAACTTACAGATCTCCTTTTGACATGTAACGTTTAACTATCATCTCATTTTGCTGAGCATCACGACCACTGATGACCAAGTAGTTCTCACTGCTAATAAACCAATTGAATTTCTCAAACCAGTGAATTTTTCTCATGTGTGAAATAGTTGCAACCATTTTCTCCTATTAGACAGAAGAATGCAAATGATCAGTTGACTGCAAGCAAGCAAACACACCAACAAGATCAACGGCGATGAAGATGAAAGATTACCTGAGAAAGCTGGTGGCGTGTCTTTTTCTCGGCTGCTTTAAAAGCCTTTTCATGAGCAGAAACAGTCTTCTCCTGTTTGGTTTCTTGTTTCTTCTTCATTTCATACCAGCGCCTGGCATTACCGTGCGCAGAAAGTGACAGGTCAACCTCCACCTACGGAAACCACAAATCATGCGCTATATGTCAGAACAAGAACGAAGATGAGCATATTTTAATCAATGTAGGGCGATTCACACCTTTTCCACAGGAAGCGTCTTCTCGTCATCATCCATTTCATCGAGATTGTTGCACAACAACAATGTCATGCAATTCTTCTCTAGATTAAGTTTGTCAATTACTCCAGCAACAGGATTTCCTAGTTTTTTTTCTTCCTTGACCATACGAGCTAGATCGTCCCAGCCCATACCCTTTGCAAGCGCTACACGAACAGCTAATATGGCAGCATCCACGTCTTCTAAGTTGTACTCAATCAATTCAGCCATATTAACACAACGGTTGACTTCTTTCTTCAGAATTTGAACACGGTTTTCCTACAACATGAGTACAGAAACATAGCACTTACAATAACGAATGAAGAAAAGTTGTACACGAAAATACGGAGATGGAAATACCACAAACCTGATCCTGGCGAATCTTGTTGAGTTTCTGACTGGCAGAATCTTCTTTTGCCTTTTGTTGGAATTCAGATCTTTGACTCTCGATTTTGCTGTAGAACTCGTCTAAAGCCGCATCAAAAGTTTCAAACTTGTCATACACTCTTGATTTGAATTGGTTTAATAAGATTGAACAGAACTCATCATACATCTGCAGACAACAAGGCAAAGAAAATCAAATATATATATATATTTATTGCCCTTTAAGAAAGAAAAAAATAGAAGACAAAGTTAAATATTGACCTTTGTAACACCTACTTGAGAAGACGTGTCATTCACCAATATTTGTTTCTGCATTAGAATATAACCTTCAGGAACTTTTTGACCATATATAACATCTTCAAGCCAATCTTCAAATACGATGACCGCTTGAACCAATAGCTGAATCTCATTATCATCTAACTTCTTGTCTTCTGAAAGTTTGGTACTTGGAACTAGACCAGCATCCAGAATTATGTGCTCAGAGAGCTGTGGCCCGTACCCCAAAGCATCACCAAGAATATTCTTCAAGGTAAATTGTTTAGCTTCATTCGACTTCCCACCCTTCTTGCCACCATTCTGCTCCTTTGGCTCATTATCTTTAGCTTCATGATCCTTAAGCGAGAAAGCAGTAAGCGATTCCTGCAGCTTTGAAGCTGTGGTCCTCTCAAAGACTCTACATATCTCTATAGGATAACGGTGGCGAGACATGATAGCAAAACCCTTATTGTCATCTCTACAAGGATTGCAATAAACAATTCACTACAAAGTCTACATTCAAAACAGAAGGTTTTAATGAAAGGAATTGAAAAACTAACCTATGTGAGCGGAGGAGAGTCATAATCATATACTCGGAATCCGTGAGGATTATGTTTCCTTGAGCATACAACTCCAATATAACATAGTGTGCATTAGCACCTAGACCAAACTGGAAGACAATGATCTGGAGCCAATAGCAAAAAAAAAAAAAAAATTACCATCTTCCAACGAAAACACCAACAGAATAAAACTAAACAAAATACACATAAAGTTCCAACTTCCATTACCCTATCATAACCAAGCTGCCGCACATCCTCAAGCCTCCTAGTCCGAATATGCTTTCTTAACTTCAAAGTAAACCCAGATGGAGTATTGCTCTTATCCCTACAAGAAACGTGAACTATATCAAATCCTTACTACTGCTAACAAAAAGGAAAATAAAATTGAATATTGTAGTAACCTGACATAAGCAGTGGTATGCAGACGAACACCACTTTCCATCAAGAGCAAAACCTTCTCGCTCTCACCAGATTCAGTGATGCCGCTACTATTCAAGAGCTTGAACATATAAGTCTGCAATCAAACAACGAGTGTGTCGTGAATAAAAACCGTAACGGAAAACAATCAAATCGAATCAACGAGATTTTGAACCTTGGGAGATATATCATAGACGTTGGAGCATCTCATGCCGATTAACCGCTTCAAGCACTTGACCTCTGCGGCCACGTCGGCCGTGTTCATTCGCACCTTCACCATTTCTATTTGTCTCTCTCGAAATCGAGGATTCACTGTGTTGATCTCGGAACCTAAAATGAGAAAATCGAACTTCTAGAACGAGAAGAAAGGTCAGGTCAGGGGGAGAAGGAGAGAGCTGAGCGTAGAAGTAAAAAGAAACTTGTGCGCTTTTTAGCTGGGTTAGGCCGACTAAAAGATGGGCCTGCATAGAAGTAAAAGAGGAGCTTGGGAGCTTTTTGCGTTGGGCTGGGGATAAAATGGGCCTATAAAGTTTGTAGTTATAAGGCATTATCAATTAGGGAAAATGCTTGATTCCCCATGAGCTAATTGCTCCCGGATTTTTCACACACGAACTTTTAGTCCATACCGAAACCCACACCAACAATTCCGTTTTTTTGAATTTCTACACAACTACGTTTTTCAATTTATACACGAACAATCAATTTTAAACTAACTAGGATCGGCCCGCCCTACGGGCGGGAAGTTAAAATAAAAACTATTTTTACGAATTTATATTAATTTATAAAATATTTAAAATCATTATAGAAAATAATATTGTAGAAAAATAAATAATTAAGAAAACTCTGAAAGCATATTATTATTTTTAATAAATATTTTTTGGTTTGAATTAAAATGACAGCAACTTTAATTATTTTCTATTTTTATAGAATACAAAATTAGCAAAAGCAATTCAGAAAATGTAATAATATAACTATTATTATTTCTATTTAAATTTTTAACATAATTTAAAAAAAAATTTTAAATAAAAGAAAATTTTAGTTTTACAATAATTTTACACAAATTATTTCTTTCATGATAATAAATTAGGCTACCTCCAAACTAAGTTATTTACAATATAACTAATAAAATATTAAATCTCAATTTTAAAACAGTACATAAATAGTATAATAATATCATAAATAAAAAATAAAAATAGTTTTTAATTTAAGAGGAAAATGATGTTTCCGAATATGTGTTTCAGTTCATAATTATATTTGGAATGAAACATATTCGAATCCATGTCTAAATGAAGAATAAAAAAAATTGAAAACATAATTTTTGATAACTCAGAGTTTAAACACCAACATGCATTAAGAAACTATAATGAACATGAGTTAGATTACCGGCATCACCAGAGCAAGGAGATGCATATCAGCATCCAATAGCTTGCCACCGCGTTTCAAGCTTCATAAAACCTGAGAAGGCGGTTCTCCGCGGTGGGAGAAAAAAGACCGCTTTCAAATCGGAGAGTATGACAAATGTGTAAGATGGTGAGGATGATCTTTATGGGATGGAGACTTGCCTTTATATAGGTTAAGTTCCACCGCCTGGAAGAGAAATAAGGAGAATTGAATGTCAAATCATGGTTTGCATGGGTCAAGGAGTAAAGAAGGTTGTTAATTGCGATGGAGCATTTAATCATGTAACGATTCAAGGGAGATGAACTGCAAACGAAACGACAGGAATGGAGATCGGTACATAGATTCCAGAACCTCTTTTGTGGTCTGCCATATTCTGTGTTCGAGAATATGAGGAACCCTAATCTTCAATCGTCATCGAAGAAGAAGAAGGTCATTTAAAATCAGCCGTTTCGCGTATGTGGGTTTTTTCAAGCCCAAAAGTTTAAGGCTGTTAACATAATAAAAGAAAACAATAATGAAGTCCATTAGTACGAAAAGGAACAAAACGCAGTGAATAAATAACATGACACGTGTCGCGCTGAGGAAGACCTAATTACTTACATATAAAAATATTTTTAAGTTGGAGTGAAATTATGACAAAAATATTTAGTCGGTTCTTTTTTAAATTACTCTCACTATTTTAGTTAGTTTACCACTAAAATATTCATGAATATATAACTATTTTATTTTTAATATTTTTTTACTCTGACTTTGCTAATAAATAAAATTAATTTTTAAAAATGTTAGTTGGTTATGTTCAGTACAGAAAACAAGGATTTATTTTTGTATGTTTTACTTTTGCATTTAGTTGCACTCTTTTGTCATACATTTTCTCTTAAAATTACTAATTTAAAAGATATGAAACATTGATTAAATAAATATTCACATTAATTTAGATATATTTCATGAAAAGTTAATATTAATTGTTACTATTTCTAATTATAAATATTTGCTTGAATCTTGAATATGTCATTAAACACCAAAAATTGAGATTTCAGCTTCAAAAACAAAGATAAATAAATAAATGGTGGGATTCACTTGTAACCTTGGGCTACATATAGTTAATACCAAAATCTATATATATTTAGAGATGTTAGGTTAAATCTTTTTTTATTTTTTTGGTTTTAGGTTTAATCCATTTCTTAAATACGTATTGCTAGCTAGATTGAAAAGATCAGTAAGCCCAACATTCGTTTTGGACAAATTCCAGATAAGTAGGCTAATTTGATTAGTGTACTCATTATTAAACTTGTAATTTTTTTGTGCCAAAGAGAAATGTCTCTGATTAATTGGGCTAGCACTCTCCCATAGATATATAAGTGGTGGAGAGGTTAACGTATTGGTAAGGTATTCATTTGTTTGAGAGTATCCAAAATGCATAACAAATGAATATTTATTTTATATTCAAAAATCATACATACAGATATTAACTTTTTATGTTTAAAATAAATTTAACTTTTGGTAAAAATAAAAATGAAGAACGTGAAAGAGTATAATGATGAAAGGTTATGCAGAAACCTTTCCCACTTTCCATCTATATTCTCTTCTCTCAATCCTCTTCACCATCACCAATGGTTTCTCTTTATCCTTTACCGTTTTTTTCCTCCTCTTTTTCTCTATCTATTCTCAGCTTGTTATGATCATTCATCCAATTCTTCCTTCTTTTGTTCAAACACTTTCTCTCTTTCTCCAACTTCCTTCTAACTTGAAGTTTTCTCTTTTTCTTTTCACGGTTTTAGCCATTAACTCTAGAATCCTTTTTTCTCCTGCAGCTCCAAAGATTGATTCCTTACAGATTACACCATCAACTCCATCATCTCTTTGTTTTCTTTTCACTGAAGCGAGAAGTCTAGAATCCTAGAAGTGGTCTCTGTCACCTGACTCAAGAATCGGTCTACTAAATCTTCATCCAACATCACACTAATTTCAGTCCCAACAAACAAAAACAATAACTAAGAAATCAAGAGAGACCAAACACTATGGCCCTAAGAGTAAGAGACTGATGTTCATGATCTTCGGTTGGCAAAAGCACTGGATCCTGCTCCGGTGTTACTCTTGGAGGTGACAACTCCGGTTTCATGGTGATCTTGATACTAACGTTCTCTGTTAAAACGAAGCAAAGAAAAAAATCAAAACTTTAAAGCTGTGACCAAGGAAGAAGAAGAGGTCTGATGAAAAAGAGCTTTCTTTAGCGATACTAAGAGAGAAGAGGAAAAGGTAATCAACAAAACTAATTCAAGTTAAAAATGCTGAAATCAGTTGAAACTACAATGATCATGAGTTTAAAGAACAGAAGAACTTTACATCAAGAAGACACCAATCAACTGGCCACAGTCATGTTTCTCGCCTCCTAGACTTGAGAACTCGTAACTCAACGGTGAAAGAACAACGATGAGCAATTAGATCAGCAAGAGGAACAGATTAGCTAGCCATTAGATTGCAATTAACTTTTTGGAATATCAGGAACTGTAAAGATGATTTCCAAGGATGAAGGCTTACCTTTTTATAATAGGAAAAACACCGTCTTTAGCATTGAATGTCATATCCAGATTGATGTGCGTCGATGGAGTAGAGAAGCTTTTTAAAGGCGATGAATCTAGACATCTCATAATGTCTTGAAAGATAAGAACCAAAAACGAATCGTTGCCTCCAAGCTTGACTCTGAGATTCTTCACGGCGTTTTGTCTCAATCGTCATCCCCGCACTCCATTGTTGGTACCAGACCTCGAAGAAGAAGAGGAGACCTAATTGCGGCGTGAAAATGATACTAAAAGGCCTTTCAGGTTTGGGCCCTAATTTCTATGTTTGATTAACAGAAACCCATATATTTCCTCCTTGTAATTTGCTGTATTAAACGGTGAGTTTCAATCCACTGGACAGGTGTCGCATTGTGAGAGCATGAATTAGTGACGTGGATGAATAGAAGGGAGGCAAACATTACTTTATATATATAGATTGCTACAAAACCATAAACGGTGTTAGTATCCGTTAGCAAGTGGAGAGTAGGTTTAATTTGGTTTTAATAAAAAAATATGAATACGACGTCATTTGGTTTATTTTGGATCCTTTTAAGGTTTCTATTGTGATGTCTTTTTGATTAAAAATGAATATGACGTCGTTGGTCTATGTTGTGAAACCAAAGATGAAAACCTAATCCCCGATTTAAGAAGAAGAACAAAACGACGCCGTTCCTATTTTGTTAATGTAAAATTTAAAATAAAACGATGTCGTATTCGTTTTATTTAAATTCAAACTAATCGGCTCTCTACTTGTTAATGGATACTAACACCGTTAATGGTTTTGTGGTAATTAGTATAAAATTGATAGTTTGTGTAAGAAATTCAAAAAACGGAGTTGTTCGTGTGGGTTTCAGCATGGCCACTTTATCTGAACTTTCATTGGTAGTAAAAATAGTCAATGAAGTATGTGATTCCTTATATTGTTCCTTTTATAAAAATATAATTTACCATATATGTATGCATACTAATACTATAATAGATAGATATGCTATAAGGATCTAAAACACACATTCATTCTCAAGATGCCTTCCCTACCAAATGAGCTCATCCCTTGTGCTGATAATACCATGAACCAAAATGATTTTGTTCCCATCCAAATTAATCGAAATGAGACCCAAACCATTTGATCAACGTTCATTACATCTGGAAACACAAACCATGCCAATTCGTTTTCTCCATCTCCACCTTTTACTTCTTCTTACCATGCTTCACATGTCCGTTCATCTATCTTAAGATTCGACATACTCATGGTTTATCAGACGAGAAGTAAAGTGGTTTCTACTATGAGAACGCCTCAAATCTCACAATTTGTCAACCCTCAGTTTTCTCCATTTTTGGCCTCTCCAACAATCCCAAACATGTATCATCATGCTACTCTCCCGACCAATAATATGGTCACTAGCCAAAATGCCCATGACCGTGGCAAACGTTTCATAAATTATGGTCAACCCATTTGGAATCACTCTCCAGATGCTTTTTGCAAGTTCACTCCAACTATCTCAAACATGTATAATCATGGTATGGTTCTGAGTAATATTATTGTCACAAGCTAAAATGGTCATGAATGTGTCGTAACTTCTGATCCAACCATTCGCCCTCCAAACAATTTTAATAATCAGTGGGAAACCTTTTACCTTGAACCTATCGATTACACCCAAGTCGGCACAAGTGACAAAGATGGTGAAAACAAGTATCGAACCCATGGAATACCAAAGGGAAATTACGGTTCATATATGTGTCCCAAGTGCCAGAGTCAGCTAGATATTTCACCAATAATATCAGCTGCCCATATGGGGTTAGTTGATGGTAGCAGTGAGACTAACGAGGAAAAAAGAGAAAGGACCTTGTGCGGGAACTAAAAAAGGTATCGTAAAGAAAATCAACAAGATGTCAATGATAAAGCTCGGAAGATCGAATCGGAGGACAAATTTCCAGAAGAACACTATTGCAATAGAGATGAAATAAGAGACTCTAAAACTTATGATATATGTAAAATAAATATCTATTTCGAATTCAGCTTTTAATATTAATGTCTTTATGTTTGTTTCAACTTATGATCTATGTAAAATAAAATAAAAACTGAATGAATTTATGCAAGATCATAAGAAATTTCGATTCAGTTCCATAGATAATATTTTATGTTTTATTTTCATTTCTCACCTCTTAGTTGCTCATATTTGCTTTTTGAGTCTCTCTCTTGGTAACCTAAAATCTTACTTCCAATTAGTGAAAAAATGATGAAGTGAAGTTTTCAATAGGTACTTAGGTAGTTTCTTCAAGAGGAATCATATAGACAATATACGAGCATGTAGATCTGGAATCTCTTCACCTTGTTAGGTGGTGCTCCATTAAATCGTCAAATCTAATCATATGTGTTTTTTTTTGGATAATTCTTGAAACATCATCTGGAAAATAATAACAATTGATTCTGAAGGTTGGCGAGTGGAGTATAGAGCCTAAAGACGAAGAAATCCAATATCAGAGACACTAGATTAATTATTTCTGACGGTTATTCGGAAATCCAATATTTCTCTAGCGATGTGAATATAGCATCCAAATAAAAAATACGTTGATGGCTACTATTTTGATATTATTCTTTGTAATATGGAATAAGATCTTGATTGTTTGCATAACTTTTAGAAGTTAGTTATTTACAGATTTTAAATTAGCTTTTTGTTTTTGTTTTTGAAAACAAAACAATTTTTAGGTAATCAATTTTTTTGATAAATAGATTTTGTTCAATCTAGGGAAACTAGCTCTTTATAAAAATATATTTTCTAAAGAATAATTTTTAAGTTTTTCATCATATAAAGTTGTTTTAAAAGTATTTATGTTCATTTCATAATCCAGAGATAATATGAAATAACAAAGTTTTTATTTGAAAATTATAAAAAGAAAAGTTAGAAAGAAAAATAAAAAGACAGAAATTATTTTAAAACAAACTATTTAATGGATTAATTAAAATAGATCAAATGTTGTGAAGTCTATCTTTGAATATTATCTAATTTAAAGATTCTCATTTTGATATTTCTCTAAATGTTGTAAGATACTAAAGACGAAGATATCCAACAGTCATCAGATTAATTCGCTTGACGGTTTTTTTGAAAAGATCAATTTTTCTCTATGTTAATATAGCCCGTAAATGTAAGACACGTGGATAGTTATTATTTCGATATTATCTTTCATAATCTAGATTTAGATTCTGAATGTTTGGGGGAGTTTTCCGGAAGATCAATCTTTCTTTAGCAATATGATAATAGTCTCCGAATAGAAGCCACGTGGATGGCTACTATTTTGATCTTATCCATGATAATTTAGATTTAGGTCTTGATTTTTGACAATTTTTTTTTGAAATGACAATCTTTCTCTGGCGATGTAAATATATCCCCTACTGAAAAATACTGATAACTATTATTTTGATATTTGTTTTGAACAACACTATTATTTTGATCTTATCCTTCATAATCTAGGATTAAGTTTTTATTGTTTGCTTAACTTTAATTTTTAGTTTTATTTTTTTGGATTTTAGTTTTAATTTTTGATTTTGGTGTAAATAGTAGTTTCCAGAAAAAACTGAATAGTGATTATGAGTGTTGGTTATTAGTTTTAATCTTAAAAATAAAATAAAACATATTATTAATATAAAAATAATTATTCTGAAACTAGTTAAAATAAAAAAAACTATCACGAAAATATATAAACTTCTTTTATAGAATTATTTTAAAACACACATCAATATATACATAATATTTTTGCAATAATTACATTAAAATAACTAAAATTATTTAATTACTAATTATTTTATAGTTTTATGTTAAAGCAACATAAATTATGTGGATTCAAAAATTTTAAAATCAAGTTATGTTGTGATAGACTTCACTATAAATACTCTCTTTCCAATATACATATACTAGTTAAATTTTGATGTTGTCTATGAACTAGTCCAACTTTCTTCATGCATGATGACTAAACCAATTTTCATCTACATGATGATTTTTTTAAATTAGAATTCTAAACATGAGGCGAAAACCGAGCGGGTGCGGTCCGGTGGCTAGGCATGAAAACCAAAGCTCGTAACTGGTCTCCTACTAGATTGGATTCACCCTAAAAATTACATGTACAATCATCTAATGAGTTAAGTGGCTTCTGATTCACTTCAGTGGTTCTGGGCCCAGACTATCTTTATTAACAAAAAGACATGAGTTGATGAGTTAAATTTGTATCCAGTCTCCAGACTCAAAAAATTTCGTACTAATCACACTAAATCACCTAAATCACACTAATGACAACCAAGCCAAAAAACTCACTAAAAGTTCAAAACCATAACAAATCTAAGTAAGATTATTAAACCAACAAAAATACTCCACCTCTTTCTTAAAAAAATGTTATTCTCGCATTTTTTTTGCTTTAAAAAGTATTATTCTACATTTTCAATGTATTTTCATATAATCTCTTTTTAGCTTTTAATTAACTAATAGATGCTTATTTATATTATTTTTATTTAAAATTATAATTTCAGAATATATTTTTTAAAGCTATGTGAAATATGTCAAAGTGACATATTTTTCCGAACGAGTAAATTTTTGATAAAATTATTTTGAACATGCACGGAAACAAACAAACCACTAAGCTAGCACTCTCATAACAATATAACAGATTTTAAAATACCAAAAAAATTATTAAAAAAAAAATTAACCGTGATATTTAAAGTTTGTATACAACTTTGCCTCAGTTAAACATTTCCGTTGTTTTCTGTTTAATTTACTTTTATGACTATTTCAAAATGCCTCAGTTAAACATTTCCGTTGTTTACTGTTTAATTTACTTTTATGACTCTATTTCAAAATGTAAAAAACTCATTTATACTATATATATTCTCAGGAAAAATGGTCGATTCCCCCATAAACTAATTACTTCCATTTTTTTCATACACAAACTTTTAGTTCATGCCGAAACCCAAATGGACAACTCTGTTTTTTTAGTTTTATATACGAACTTTTAGCACATGTTGAAATCCACACAAACAACTCCGTTTTTTTTTTAATTTCATACACGAACTCTCAGTTTTAAACTAATTGTCCCAAATTCATAAATGGTGTTTGTATCCTTTAACAAGTGGAGAACTGGTTTAATTTGGATTTAAATCAAATGAATACGATTCTCATTAACAAAATAAGGAACAACGTCGTGTTGTTTGTCTTCTTAAATTGGGGATTAGGTTTTCATCTTTGGTTTTACAACACAGACCAACAACGTCGTATTCCTTTTCTATTCCAAAAACATCACATTAGAACCTTTAAAACAATTCAAATATTCCATAACGACGTCGTATTCATATTCGTTTTATTTGACTCAAATTAAACCGACTCTCCACATGTTAATGGATATTAACACCATTGATGATATTGTGCCAATTAGTTTAAAATTGATAATTCGTGTATGAAAATTCAAAAATCGAAATTGTTCGTGTGGGTTTCTGCATGTGCCAAAAGTTTGTGTATAAAATTTAAAAAACTGAATTGTCTGTGTGGGTTTCGGCATGAGCTAAAAGTTTGTGTATGGAAAAACAGAGAGCAATTAATTCATGAGGGAATCAGCCATTTTTTCTAATCAATTATGGGTGTTTAGAGCAGCTGCACACTGCAGCGGTATTCTTTTAGTTGAGTTTATGTCTAAAAATAATAACAAAATAGTACAAAGCAAGAGAGACAAAGGTAAAATATATGAGAAACGTCTCCTATAAAAAAAAATATCACCGTTTCTATACCGTGAGTCAAATTCATCTTATAAGGAGACGTTTTTTTTTTTAATGTCTCCTTATAGGATGACTCTGACACAATGCAGAAAAATGGTAATGCCACTTCTATTTGCACAATTATCTTTTAAAATTTCAAGTTTAATTATTTATTAAATATTTTACAAATAAGAGTATAATAATAGGAAGAGCCCCAGCTTGAAAAAATGGCCAATTCTGATGCTCTTAGTTATGGTTAACAACTGTATATCTTCGTAAAACTTAGTTTTGCATATGATTCTACAGGACCGAGTTAGAGGAATAGTCATTCAAACAATTGCTTAGGACATATAAACATTTTTTGTTTATAACAATATCTAAAAAATTAAATTTTAATCTGTCGATTCAGATAATCAAATCGGTGGTACATAATCGACATAAAAAATAGTTGACGAAGTATTTCTCTGCCAAAGAAGCTTGTGTTTTCGGTATATGTATGATCTTGAAATTAAGGAAGAAAGTCATACTCCGTCGAAATCCCTCCATATGGGTACTGAACGATGTCCATTCTTCACATGTCGACACCATATTTACCAATTGAAAATAATTTGTTACGAAAACTATCTCTGTAAATTGAAAGGTCTTCATGCACTTTATAACCCAGATCAGAATTTCACATTCTGCAAGAAATTTAACTAACAAGGCAAATTTTTATTTCTTTTATTTCAAATTTTAACATTTTATTAGTATTTATATACGAATAAGATTTATATTTTTTATAATAATATCACGTGTTAAAGTTTCAGCATTGTCTAAAGG